ACACAGGCAGAGGGAGAGAGACATATATCTATCTATATATAACGTTTAAATCTTATATATAACCTTTAAACTTAATAAGGCGAACCCTTGCTTCTCTTGACATAGTTTTATTGTTCTTACACATCCTGTCCCACTCCTCATCAATCAGTCAAACATTCTCCCGATGTACCAGATTCAAACTTGACATCAGCGATTAACTAACCAATGAATTCCTGAGTCACCTTTTGACTGACAGGTGTGGTCAGCTCCCAGTCGGTGTGTGATCGCTGCCAGACCTCAGATCAGTGTAATTAGCCGTAGATTATAGCCAGGCAGTGTAGCGGGGCAAAGGAAGTGTTTCATTGAAATTATCAGTGAGACCTATTAAGATGTGAACCACATGAAAGGCAGCCGGTGGGCTCTGGAGTGTGTCAGCGGCTGGACAGCAGAGGTGAGAGAGAAAGCAGAGCCGTGGACGCACACACACACACACACACACACACACACACACACACAATCACACAATCATTACTGCTTGGCTGCGCGCGGTCCTTTTGGCAGCACACGCCATAACTGTGCAGTCCTGAAATGTTCGCCTTTGATCATCGTGGCCCCCGCTCGTGTACAAACACACACAAACACACACAAACACACACGTGGCTTCACAAGGAACTTTGTAGATGCTCCAAGTGGGACAGACGCCTAATTCACAGTGATATTCTTAGCCCGACCATATTTCCAGAGGAATATGTTGAAAAGCTCCCAAAACTGTTGTGCACTTCCTCACCCCTGCTGCGATGAGCTCATCTAAGTCATGAGCTCAGCCGCTAATAGTCACATTAAACTAATATAAGAACCTAATTGCTTGAGTCATGATGCTATTTCAGCCGCTGATGAGTCAAAAATGTGTCGCTGTCACTCCGGCGTTGAGGCGGTGGCGGCGGCGGAGAGCGAGGGGGCCCCCTGTGTGGCGGTCAATAGGCCCGTTTGAGTCCGGGGCCTCGGATGGCTGTCAGTGCCCACGGGGCTCTGCTTTGCATCTGAATGATTAATCTTCCGGCCGTCGCAGTCTCAAAGGCCGCCTTTATGGCTCCCCCTTCAGCCCCCGCAGAGAAAAGAAAACAGAACTCTGTGGTCGTCGTCCGCCGAGCTGCGCACGCAAACAGCCAGGCCAGTCGGACGCAGGAGGATGGAGACGACACAGTCGCACGTACCTGCACACACACTTGCTCTCTTATTCTTATTGAAATTACCCTTCAAATATTTAACATATTTCAATTAAGTTTATTACAGACAGCCTTGACTTTGCTGATCCCGTTGTAACAGTTGGATTTTATTTACGGTGCCAGCCAGGTCTCTCTACTTTTAGCATTTAAAATGGTTGTTTGTGTTTCACCCATAAGGACACACATCATAATTTACACCCTACATTGAATGACATAGATACTAAATTCACAAGAACACAAACACAAAGTCAAAGTCTAGGTTATATTCAACAAAATAACCCCCGAAGTCCGAGAAGTTCCCCAAAAAACAGAGATAATCCGACTCAAACTTCCACTAACATTTTTGTCGATTAATTGATTAGTTGTTTGGTCCATGAAATGTCAGAAAAAAAAGCCCAAAATGACAGCCTCAAACATATTTAGTTTACTGTCCTCCCACTTGACTCTCTCTTCGCTCCAGGAATACGACGAGGAGTGGGGAAAGAAGATCCAGACCGAGAAGTTCCGCTGGTACAACGGTCAGTGGCTGGAGATGGTGGAGAACCGCCTGATGGACGAAGCGGGAGAGCCCTTCCTGTACGGCGAGGACGCAGAGTCCTTCATCGGGAATACAGACATGATGGAGAGACCCGACCTGTTCTACAGCGCCGGTACTTAAAGGAGCAGTTCATTATTTGATACAAACACGCTCAGTAGGGCCCATAAACAGGACGGCGAGGTTCATCGCTGCTTGTAGCTTTAATTTACCTTTTGTGTCTGAGAGTGAGATGACGCAAAGTTTCTTGTTTGTTTAACCTGTTTATGTTTGTTTACCCGTGTTTGTTTCATCCAGATGGGATCATCTCCGCAGATGGTGCCATCAGTCCTGAGTTCTTCACCGACTTCCAGAACGGAGAGCTGGGACCAACTGGGTACATGAGCAGGTACTTACCATCCCAAACACACGATATGAAAGGGTATACTTGCATTATTAACATTATATCTGTGGCATAAGATGGTCTTAAAATGACTATAATATTATTTTTTGCAATTATTTCTGGGACAAATTATCGTCCAACAGTAATAGTTATTGTGACAGAGTCAGCTCTCAGACCCTGAGTGTGAGTGTGTGATGGCGGCTGTCAGCAGGGCAGGTTGTCTTTGTCCAGAATCACTGGCTGTGTCAGAGAGGAAACACTAAACTGTGAGTGTTTACCCTCTCGTATTGTTATTCTGAATCACTATTCGCTGATCTGTGTTATTGAACCAGGCCTGGCCTGAGTCAACAAGCCTCGCCAATCCCAGAAGGCATCGCTCCACCCTCAACAGCAATACTCCAGCTTTGAGAACAAACACTCTCCGGCCTCCACGTTCTTGTTTCTCTCTCACTCATTCCTCTGTGGCTCCAAATACATCAACTACTTTATTCCCAATACGCCGCCGACATTCCTCAGCGAAACATGAAACTGAAGCCTGGGAATTAAAAATCAATCCTGTTATCACTACGATGGACGTAGTTTCTTCTGAATCCGTCTTTGGTCCCGATACCGAGCGGCAGCTGATTCCATCTGCTGCTGAGATGATGAATAGTTGAGGAAATAGAGAGTTTATTGTGAGTAATTTGTCTTATTTATTATCAAACTTTTCCTTGCGTGCGATAAAGCTCGTGTCAATGGATTTTTTCTTCCTCCCCCCCTCGCCGGCAGGAATGTTTGGTTTGGCTTCTGCTGAGAGGTCGACTGTGACTGAATCCACGACACAGTCGGTCCGACGAGATGAGGAATCCCGATCTGTGTTCCCTTCACTCGTTTCTTTATTGTCTGTGTTTGCTCTCTTTCGGTCGCTCTCTCTCTCTATCCGCTTTGTAACTGAAACCTTTTGAATTTACCGAGAGCGCCAGGGGAATTGTCGTCTGTGAGACTGTTTTAATTTGGCCCGCTGTACTCTGAGTGATCCAGGTTAACATAATAATCAAAGCCAGCTCCAGCGCTTATTTTAAACTATGTGTGAAACATGGTGTGAATGGGGCCTTTTAAATCGGACGTAATACTGTACAATCACTGTTATTTGTGTGAACATCATAATGAGCTTTTATACCAGACGACCGATATCATCAGCCAGGCTGATAATCGGTTGATTTTAGTGTATCAGTGTGTACAGAAGGCAGGACAGAGACAGGAAGAGACCCATTATGAGATTTTCTGATTATCAGAAACGTTATTGTATGGAAGCCCATTTCTGCCAATGTGTAAGTCACTATAATAAGAAACCTTCTTAAAATAATGACTTTGTATCTCAAAATAATGA